CCTGCTTTCCATACTGCCACGCTGGCAAGGAAGCTGGGGGTGCATGGGAGACTGGGAGGAAACACAGCTGGGACAGGTGACCCAAACTGACCAATGGGATATTCTATACTATATGACATCATGCTCAGTATATAAGGTGGGAAGAAGACGGAGGAAGGGGGGATGTTTGGAGTGACGGCATTTGCCTTCCCAAGTAATCATTACCCGTGATTGGGCACTGCTCTGCTGGAGGTAGTGAACACTCCGTGTGGGAAGCCGTGAACTAATTCCTTGTCTTGCTTTGTTTGTGTGTGCAGCTTTTGCTTTCCCTATCAAACTGTCTTTATCTCAACCCATGAGTTTTCTAGCTTTTACCCTTCTGATTCTCTCACCCATCCCACTGGTGAGCAGTGAACGAGTGGCTGTGTGGCACTTGGCTGCTGGCTGGGGTTAAACCATGACAGACTACTAGTATCAAATCATGCACATCTCACAGGATGCTGACAGTGAATGTAAAAATCGAAGCTTTATTCCATGTCATATCAGAAGGAAAACTATAGCTGTAAAACTAGCAATTTTCACTAATCAACTCTTATCCAAGCCACTGTTTCTATTCACTAAAGTTCTCTCTGTTTCCCTATCTTACAAAATAATGAAAACAAAATGACTTTGAAATTCTGAATCATATTTAAAATTATAGAAACCATATACAAAAAGCCTCATACTGAACTCAATCTATACTCTATAATTATATAATTTAGAGCAATGGGAAATTTTAGTCAACTTGAATCTAAAAACAGTTTCTAGTGTTGCATGCCCAAATACTGTTGGAAAGAAATCTCTGGGACCAATCAATGTGCATCCAAAGTCAGTATGTTTGCTCCTTCTGCTGAATTTGCTTTTTTATTGCTTAAATAAGCAGAAATACATCTGCACTAAATACAAAAGAATAATAATACCACAAGTTAATATACTGCATTGAGCATAAGACCAAGGTTTGTTACGTAAAAATTGTTAACATGTTGAGTGTGACGTACAGCCTACACTCTCCTGCTGCACTTATTTTTTTAAACTGGCAGACTGAGCTACAGTTTCTGGGATTGATTCCTCAGCCCCCAGTATTTCTCAGCGCTCAGTCCTTTAGGATTTAATTCCACAAAAACAACCATAATAAGAGAGAGCTGTAAGTTAGACATACATAGGGAAAGGCTTCAAGACAGTAAAAAGAGTAACACCAATGCTCCACAAATAAACAATTAACCCAATTATTTTTGATAAAGGCATATGCACCTAAGCATATGTATTGACAAAAAAAACCCATAAAACTCAATATCTGAGTGATCCTGTGAAAAAAAAATTAATTTCTGCCCAGGGACTCTGTATTAATAGTGAATCCAGAAAGTCTCTGCTATGATTTAAGCATGCTGTTGAATACAATGATATCCTATTTGCAAAATTATGATTCTGAAATGGCTGACAGTGTCAAAGAATGCTGCCTTCGTATTATTAACACCTTCAGATCACCTCTATTCACAGAAACTTCCTAATAGAACCCTAGTATCTGAAGACTTCAAATACATTAATTTGAATATAAATTATCTGTTTAGCAATGGCTACAGACTATCCAACTCGTGCAAAGTGACATCAGTTGCAGATGAAATATAAATCCTCAATTTCTTAATTTTCCTAACAGCACTGTATCTTCTGCTTCCATTTTGTTTACAGTTATGATTTTACTGGACCCAGATAAATTAAAATATAAACTAATGTATCAATATATAAATTCTCCTTGTAAAGAACAGATGAACTGAGAAATTGCTGTACCAAAAGACTGTACTATCTTAGTCTCATCCAGCATCATTTTTATTCAAAAAATACAGAGAACAGGAACTGAGTAAGTATGCATGCTGAATCACATTTCTGGAGACTTCAGAATATGGATGAAGCACCTCCGCATAGAGGAACATAGTCATAAGTACATTGATACTGATTACTTCCCTGATACTTGAAACAAACAATCTCGAACATGATCAAAAAAATCTCCTTTGACTGACATTCATCTAGCCACACATCTTTAACTCCCATGTCAGCATGTGTCAGGAAAGCTAATGAGGTTCAGTTTGCCATTCTCCTTCAGCAGTTCTTCAATCTCTGTCTCAGATGTAAACATTCTGCTCACCCAAAATCTATTGTTTCTCTTCTAGTGCTCTTACAGAAGCCTACTGATCAATTAGATTACAATGAGAAACAGACACATGAAAATAATAATAATTCTAGTTCCAGGCAGGAAATACCAGTAACTGCCATGTCCAATAAAACTCTTAACCCCTTCAATCAATAAGCATACAGGTGCTTAACAGCTGCTTGAAAGAGTTCCAAGACAACTGTTTCTTTCCTAACAAAAATACACCTTTATCTACCAGAATGATAATCATCACAAAAGAGGAAAAACTTGTAGGTATACAACATCTTATTGGGATGCTGCTACTTTCACATTAAATTACTACACCAGGAAGCTGGCAAACTACTGGATGAACTGGAAAATGTCTTCATCTTAGCAGAATCCTTGAGATACAACTGTCATCACATCATCATCTAGCCAGACTAGATGCACTAGATGCACTTTAAGCATGCACAACCTATGCTTAAATAGGAATTTTACACTATGTTTTAACTACAACATTGAAAAAGTGTCAGCAGGCAAAAGGAATATAATCTCTAATTTAAAAAAAACTGAGCAATTTCACTGCAACCTACCACATATTTAAATCTTTAATTACTTTACTAGATGAATCTTAATATTAATATCATCCTATAAATTACCATCACATTTTCTGAAATGTGCTCTATCCCTCAAGGTATCCAAACATATGCATATATGATATAGATCATGGGTCTAAGCCATCTCTAATTTTCAGAAAGATGTTTAACAGCTAATTGAAGTATCATGCCTGGGAATACTGTGGCTCAGACAAAAACTGAAACAGAGTATGGCTTTCCCAAACTAGTGAGACAGAAGATATAAATCAATTTCTTCAGCCTTGGAACAAGGAGGGAGATGAATTGGTGAGGGGCCAGTTGAAATTATGGCACCCAGCTTAACAATGTCTAAATTTGTGCTAACTTAAAGCATAATATTCCTTAGTAACAAGAAGAAGAATCAATTAGCAGGCATGCTGTCTCTCTCTGAAGTCAAGAATATTTATCTGTAGCTGTAAGAAACAGCTACTGTTAATGAGAAGCAATAACTGGGTGTGTGGAAGTGGAAATCAGGTACAAAACACATGTAAACACTGAAGTGTCCAGATATGTACTCCAACAGACCTGTAGTCACAGACAGGTATCAGCTCAGCTATATCAAAGTGTCTAAGGGAGTGTGAGTACCAATCTCCAGTTCTGCTAACTGAGGAGATTCTGGAGAACAGCACCTGAAAATATTGTGCTTTACAGAACTAAAATGCTAAGGCAATATGACAAAGTAATGTGTCTTCTGTTTTGATGTACAGTACAATAAGCTTCACAAGCCAACTTTGATAGAATAAGGTAGCTTTATTCATCAACTTTGGGTGGCAGTATATGTGATTGCTGGGTAAAGCAGATTTACTATTTCTATCTACTGCAGCAAAGCAAATGCCTATCTTGGGTAAACTTCTTAGATTTTGTAGCTGATCTGTGCAAGATGGTGGCTCTCTACAGTACTTGAGTAAGTTCCCAAAAAGAGCATCTGAGAAATTCCAAGTATTGTCTTAATATTTTTGACCACTGTGGTATCTAGTTACAGAGCACCAAATTTCATGGTTGCAGAAATATTTACTTACTTATTTTGTACATAACTCTGTTTTATATATCACTGCTGTTTAGCATCACTATGGACATGTTTCTGTTTAATTCTTGAAACTTGAAACTTGAACAACTTGAAACACCTGAAGGTACCATACAGTATAGTGTAACGTGCCTATCTGCAATCTAAAGTGACTATTTGGACAAGTGTATTCAAAACAACTGCCTAACAGTGCTCTCCTTATTTAAGCTATCAGGTTAAATAATGGAATTCCATGGTAACCACTCAGAAAATAAGAGAAATATTGCTTAAAGTGCCTAAATTAGATCAGAAGCCCAATCTCACACATTTCCAGGAAGGCCATTTACCCTGCTTCCTGTCACTTTGTGACACTTAAAAATAAGCAGAAAACTGAATTGTTCAGCTGAGGAAAGAGACATGAGACTGGCTGCTGCTTTCTAGTCATAAGGGCTGTTTTCATTATGTCTAAAAATAGAATTATGTTTTCCCACCTCTTTTGGCATTTGTGAAAATACAGTACTTATTTTCTAACATCTTGCATGCTATCCACTAGCAAATGTACACACTACTTAGATACATCTAGAAGCATATATAAAGATATGAAACATGTAGATGACATATGCTTCAAATCAGCTTTTAAATTACTATTTTAAATCAATTGAGGAAAATTAATTTACCAAAACTATAGAGAGATAAGTTAATTCTTTCCATACAAAACTAAACAAAATCCTGAAAATCAAGACATATATAAACACTCTTGATAAGCTTCTGATAATACCCAGGAGTCTATAGCCTTTTTTCTTGAATAAGAACCATAGTATCTTAAGACACTGATGGCTTACGATGCCCCCAGTGGCCAAAGTCCTGTCAAAAACCGAACCAGAAAAAGTAGCTTTAAAGCAGAATAGAGGACTATGACTTACACTCAAGATTCATATTCAAGGGATTCCTATGTCATTTTTACCTACACTTACACAATTAAAATCTTATTCTGAAATGCAACTGATGTGAGTTCTAATAAAGAGTATTTGATCAGTGAATATATTTGTTTTAAATGATACCTTATTTTCCAGAGCTTTATGCAAAGACAGATCCAATGTTTTAAGAAGAATTTGAATGAAAACAGACAGAAACTACATGACCTGTCTGTGCCTGTATACATGGTCTCACAAAGACAGAAAATTTAATCATCAGAAAATGTATTAAATATTACACTCACCTTCATCACTAGTTGCTTGCTGTTTAACTAAAGTCATTGGTGATCTATCTGGGGGTTTATTTAGTGGATGGCGCCTACTCCTGGATATTTTCTTTCTTACAACTTCCTCTGACTGGAAAAGAAAAAACACAACTAATTCAGTATGTAATTCTATGAAGCTAATTATAGTAAGCAAAAACATTCTTCTGTAAACAAGCAAGAGGTCAATTCTGTAAATACTATCCTGGCACTTGAAGGACCTTTAGTGTACCAATAAAACATTTGTCTCTAATTCAGAATACATATTTTAATTCAAAAAGTGCAAGCCTTGTCAAACACAAATCATTTCAGGTATAAGTTACCGCAGCCCTTCACAACCTACACAGCATAAATCCTGGTTTGCTCAGCGCGATGTTAGAGAGGGAGAACCCAAACAATTCTGCAAACCAGAAGTGCAACATAGCCACAAACTGGCTACAAAAATGAGGCAGAAACCCATTGACTTCATTCATGAAAGACTCCAAAATTCTTCAGAAAAAAAAAAAAAGATCTGGAGTTAAGATAAGAAATTAAAGTCCTGCTATACAACTAACATATTGATTTGGTATATGAAGAAATTCCTTCCTCTCTGAAACACCTCTATGTACATTCAGCTTAAAGTTATTCAAGCTTCAAGAACTAAGGCCAGTGTTACAAACTCTTGAAGTGCAGATTTCACAACCCCAGATTTGGGTGCTGGTGGAGGAATCTCGAAGTAAACCATTTACTGATAGCATATGGAGGTTCAGGAGCACACAAAGGGCAAGGGCACTGGCAGAGAGGTGGGAACTTTCACATGATTCTAATGGATCACAGCATTCTGCGCCTCAATGCCCTGAAACTAACCTAGCAGATAACACGCATGCCCCTTGACTGATTTGAAGGCTGAAAACTGCAACTAAAACATGGGAAGTAAATTACAAAACAACATTATATTTACTGTGATAAGCAGGGGGAGGAAGATGTGGTTAATGCACAGGACAGGTTTATGATCTAAAAGTCACAAAGTAAGTAAAAAGGGAAATATCAGACTTTTTTAATTGCATCTGTACAGTATACTTCACTTAAAAGAGAAAGAAAGATTATGCAATTATACTGGAGAAAATCCGAAACCGCATATATAAATGGCTGAAAGGCACAGAAAGAGATAATATAATCTCTAATACATGTTAATTAAAACACTGAGATGTTTATAGTGCTTCTTATTATTATGGTGGAAAGGCTGGAGCCAAGATTATTAAAACCCTTAACACTGAAAAAAATCCTTAGTGCACTGTTCATGTCTGTGGAAGGGTCAGCTTGATTTTATTTTGGCTTCTAAAACATATTCCCCACAAAGTATGGCAGTGGATTTTCACTCTCTCTCTGCCAAACTGGGATTGAACTTGCCATTCAGAAAGCTACTTTGACAACACCATGGCTTAATTTTACATTGTGCATCCCAAAGTCGCAGCTGAACATTACAGCAGAATAGCAAGAGTAAAAAATAGTCCATATGTTTGTAGCTGCCCCAAAGAGAAAATGCTATTAAAACCTGCTATTTAAAAATGGAGAATATATATTCCTTATATTAGCAGGATCTTTTCTTTCAAGTGTTTTCTTTGCATATTTTAGGCCATTTACAAAATCCAAGAAAAGTAACTGTCAGACCTTGACATCTACTCTCCTGCTATAGCCAGGTCTTGAAGATTCACTTTCTTTAACTGTTATACTATGGGTGCAATTTTAACTGAAGTAAGAAAGTTTATGTGAGATAATATAACCGAATGAAAGTAAAATTTGTTTCCACCCAACTCAATGAAAAGATATTTCTCAGTCTAAAAACAAATCACCACGTGCTTCCATGCTGACACGTTTTGTCCTTGGACAGCAAGTCTCCCAGAATCCACTCACTCTGCTGTTCTACCAGCATATTATTAATTCTCTTTAAAACTCGGTCAAAACAGTCATTTTCTGAAACACAAATACATGATACCAAATAAAGCACTCACTTCTAATAATTTCAATTTCATGTGAATGGCAATAACTGAACCTCACAGCCTCACTCATACTGGCAAGCAATGAATATGGGAATAGCTTGAGAATAGTTGCTGACACTTCAGAGTCACAGATACAAAATGAAATTACTAGATATCTAAAATAACATGGAAAATGTGTCTATAAGCAAGCAGAAACATTCTGCTTTTGGATCAAAATTCCCGCTCTTGCCTGAACACTTCAAAACAAGTTCAAATTATCATCTGATTAAACTTATGCATATTGTTAAGTGCTCTAATACGGATATGAAGTCTCATTAGAAAAACGCTCATTCACATTTCATTACATCAAGAATATATTACTATTATGATGCAATTTGCTTCACATACACTAGACGTTTCCATGCCATCTTCTTCACCGCTTTTTACAACTGGCATTTCTCCATGTTCCAAACTACTTTCACTGTGTTCTAAGTTGCTGATACCATCCTCCATGGAGACACGTTGCACTTTATCCAGATTTTCTGCTTCAGGAGCTTGTCCCGCTGCTTCACAGCATGGTATGGATGAAACATACTGATTTTGAGGTTTCAAATTCTCTTCTGTTTTACAACTCTCAGAAGCAGGCTTGCTGGCCACAGAATCTTCATGTGCAAAGAAAGGATGACTGGAATATACCCTGTCCTCATCTTCCATTTCTGCCTCCTCTGGTGCAGGTACAGGGCTCAAAATTGACTCTGGATGGATGTCTCCTATAGATCAAGAATATGATTTGTTAATAAATCTCACTTTACATTACCATATTGAATTTCACAACAATCTGAATTATTCATAGCATGGTTCTTCATTCAGAAATCATACAGAAAAGCATTTTGTAGAAGAGCATATACAGAAAGGTTATACACAAAACCTGGAGCATAGGTTTTATCAGAGAATAAATTAAATGTAAATGGATTGAGTTTGAAGCATGAAATATAGTTTGAATCATTTAATCAGTATTTTGCATTTGAATTACAACAGGTCTTCATGTCATTCAAAACAATCCATATTCACGTAGCCTCTTTATTCTGAGAGCCTATATGCACTTTGACTCACTGGGTAAAAAATTACAAAAGGCTGGTATATTGAACTTAATACCCTGCATTTTATACCTATTATACCTGCTTTAAAACTGAAAACAAGCAAAGATTAATGGTTTATAATTATGAAGACATATTTCAGATACCAAGAATGTTTTGAAAACAACAGCACTGGTCTAGAAATGAAAAGCACTTAGCATAATTTTATATTGGAAAAATTAGCATAATTTTACATTTCAGTGATGCTGAAGAGTGAAATTGTGTGGATTTTACTATACAAAAATTCTTCATCTGCTGATGCTCACATCAGAAAGACAGAACAATGGGCAAGAGAGGTCACTCGAAAAACATATTCCAGAGAAGTGTGTGGCACACACTGCAGTGAATTCTGATTCAGCAGCACATCCAAGATATCAAACAGTTTCTGTGAACTCCCTCCCTACTCTTTCTTTACAATGGTTACTTGAACTTCTTTTCCAGAAAAATATTCCTTTTCAGTCAAACGAATACACAATTTATTAATACAAAGCCAAAACCGAAATACAATCTCTGGGCATGAACAGTACTCCCTTGACTGAGTATAATGGGTGTAATAGCCAGAGATAATGCAGAACAAACCACCTTCTTCAACATGAGCCCTGGATTTTCTACCATCCTATATAAAAACATGCTTTTTCCTACAAAGGCCCAGGCACCACTCTTTAATAGCACAAAGTAGACAGGACAGCTCTCTGTTCTTCTCCGTTTTTTATCCCCTTGCCAATAAACACAGAATGGCTCCTACTACTTTCTCTATGGTCATGAACATTCCAAAACTCTATTAAAAGTTAGAGAAAGCTGTAAAGCAATGGTACCTTTGAAAAAAACTAAGATTATTAGGAGACAGCTGGAACAACTTTGATACAGCACCAAATAATTTATATGCATGAATTTCTAAGCCTCCATGTTGCAATACTCACTCTGTTACCCTTATCGGAATCAATCCTGGTGATTACCATCCCCAAATAAGCATTAACATAACTATTAATATCACAATAATGGAAATACTCTCTACATGCAATTTGCAAGTAAATTTTCAGTAGCAATATAAAATAAAATGGGATTGCTCACATACTTAAAGTTAAAATTGCAGTTTGACTTTATGAACATTAATGTGGAACTATACCTGAACTACAAGGAAATGTGAATTAGAATAAATAAAGTCCAGAATAGACCAAGTATATTAGTTTAAAAAAGCTGTAGTGGGGAAAAAAATCTTCAGCTTGTCAAGGCCTTTATAACTTGCATTGTCAGACAGATCAACAGGATGTGACAAGAAATCTGGAGTCTCAGAACAGAGCACTTTTGTGTGCAGGAATGGACCACTTCTAATATGTAGGTTCATCATGTAAATACATGCAACAAAGTGGCAAGCATGTATATTCTGTACTATTTGAACAGTATTAAGGCATTCTGTATCATTTCCATATCAAAAACACTTTGCTGTATAACATAAGAGTCCACTGAAAAAATTTAATTTACAAAACATCATTCTTTTTTCTCATTTAAAAAACACTTCATTAAAACAGTATAGGTGATATTACTCTCAACTCAGAATAGTAATTTGGCATTTTCTTATTCTTACTGAATATCTGTCTTCTCTTCATAACTTTATACGTAAGCATTTTAGTATGTTATTCTAGGATAACACTATGCTTTAACACCCACTAATTTGTGGCATTAGAGTACTGACAGCCTACAACTTACATGTGAAACACACTCAGTCCTTATCTCACCTTCAGCCAAGGCATGATCCAAAAAATGTTGATCCAGCTCCATTCCACTACTGTTTTCTTCTTCCCCAGAAGGCACTCCTGTGTTTACCACTGTCTTTTTTTCAGGTTCTTGACTGACCTTGGAGCCATCAGTAGCCGCTTCAGTCGCTGTGATTTCTGCATCAGCTACCATAGCAGATACTCTCTTGTCCTCTGGAGTTTTAAGATTTTTAGATTGAGATCTGGTGTGCATGAAGCTGTTATAAGAGATATTGCTGTCAGAGTAGAAAGTCTGTCTTGGATAAGATAAAACATCTACCAATATATATGTCCCTTTCACCTGCTTAAAGTGGTAAAAAACTGACAATTTTTCATCTTTTTGTGTTGAGATACTGTTACAATTTATTAAGTGATAGATTAACAATTGATTGGATTTAACCTTCTAATCTTTTATCACCATTCTATGGTAAAGTTGTTGAATTCTGAAAGTAATATAATCTTTAAGTAACTATTACTTAACTAACATCCAAACACTCTCCGTAGCACTAAAATCGGGTAATACTTCCAAACTCCAATGCTGATAACAAACTAGTCTGAACACCTTTGTAGAGTCAGATCTGTTTTTGTATGCATTTTAACACAAACAACAAGCATCTGAAAAAGTAGAAATTTTCATCACCAGGTATTTTGAAAGGATACAATATCAAGTAATATATTTCACAAGGCTGTGTTAAAAAAAAATATTCAAAACACCCCCCAAAAACCCCACATACAAAAAACCCAAAGTTGAAATTAAGGTTTCAGCATATGTTTTAGCACCCTCAGAAGTAGAAGGGAAATCCTAAGGCAGGAGAAATGGCAAACCCATCAGAAACAGGTTTGTAATTTATGTACTCTGGATAAAAGTAGCAGGAGATTAGTCCAGTTTCAAATTTGTGACACAGGAGGAGATTTTAATGTGCTTCATCACACAGCAGGTTTCAAAACTCTGAACATAATAATGACAAATCCCCAAATATCACAAAGGACTTGCATCTTAGATTCTACACATCACCAGAAAAAACATTTTGCTACCCCTTACATTTTATTTTATGTCCATCAATGTACATCTTCCAACACTCTCTCTATAAAACAGCAGTTTTCAGAAAATTTGCTGAAGTATGAGACACCCATCAGTTCACATTGTAATGCAACAGCGAGTATTGTTACTGTTTACATGTAGTCATTAGATGTTTTATTGTATTGTTCTATATATGGCATTTCAGCTATAAATGTCAACGTTAAACTCTCCATGAAGGGTCATCCCTTCCTATTCATGATATTCATATCATCCCTGCCATATTCATGAAGATTCCCATAGATGGTATTTTTATTTTCACCCTGCTGTAACTTACATTACTCCCATAATCAAAATGATGACAATTTCAATAGACACATTATACTAGAAATGAAGCTGAAAAAACATTTTATCCTCCTTTGCAATGCACGCTATTACCATGACTGAACAAAACCCAATTCAAGATTTAAACAGCGTTGGAATTGCGTTTATTAGCTTAGCTAAGTGCATGAAATCAGCCCATGTGTTCCCATGATAAAACTTTCAACACAATTCTTAGAAAGCCTTCATCTTTAGTCAAAACTGGCTACCCATAAGGGTACTATGAAATTAATTGCTGCTGGTCCAAGTATGAATTTCCAGTTATGCTGTACAATACACACAGTGAAACCTATTACAGGGCAAAATGGCATTCACCTAGCTAAACAAGAATGAGAATTAGTCTCTGTGAGCCCAGTATGTTATACATATACTAACAAATTGGCTGTCAGATGCTTTACCACTTGTCTTCAACAAGTGACTCTACCCCAGAAACTATACCTACCCAAAAGAAACTCAATGTTATATTTTCAACCATAATGTTTCACTACAGTCGCAGTTAGTCCTTTTCTTTACAGGTGACTTTCCTATCCTTTGCCTCAAAAAATTCATTAACTTACAAAGAAAATGAGGAAATTTGGTTTCAAACCACGTTAAAAAGTAACTATACTGTTAAATTATCTGAAGGAGAAAAAAGGTCTTAAAAAATTCAGGATTATCTTCAACCCAGAAAACTGCACTACACAGCTAAGCAGATATGCATAAAATTTCCCACCCCTGGCCAGAAATTAAGTAGATCTGTATTAGATAATGAAGAAGAAAATTCACAAAGAAGACAGAGAAGCAAGAAGTGTACAAAAAATGTCTGTGCAATGCAAACAAAAACCATTATGCATATCAAGAAAACAGCTATGAAACTGCTTTAAAAGGTCAAAGCTTTTATAATTTCAGTGACAAAATGAGAAATAGAAGATGGTTCATGACCTGCTATGCCAGTTAGACACTCATAAGTCTATGGGCCCTGATGGGATCCACTCCAGGGTAATGAGGGAACTGTCGAAAGAACTTGGCAAAGCACTCTCAGTTGTCTACTAGCAATCCTGAATAACTGGAGAAGTTCCAGCTGACAGGAAATTAACAAATGTAATGACTATCTACAATAACAGCCAGAAAGATGATCTGGGAACCCACAGACTTATGAACCTCATGTCAGCTCTGGGCAAGATTATGGAAGAGATCACTCTGAGTACCATTACACGGCACAATGCAGGTCAACCAGGGGATCAGGTCCAATCAAGCAGGATTTATGCAATGAAGGTCCTGCTTGACCAACCTAACCTCCTTCTATGACAAAGCAACTGCTTAGTAGATGAGGGAAAAGCTGTGAATGTAGTTTGTCTAGACTTCAGTAAAGCATTTGACACCATCTCCCACAGAATCCTCCTAAAAAAAAAGGCTGCTCATTGCTTAGATGGGTGGACCTTTCAATGGGTAAGAAAATGGCTAGATGGCTGGGCCCACAGAGTTGTTGTGAATGGAGCTAAATCCAATTGGTGGCTCATCACAAGTGGTGTCCTCCAAGACTCAGTATTGGGGCTGCTCCAGTTTAACATCTTTATTGATGACCTGGACATGAGGACACTCGCAGTAAATTGCAGAAGACACGAAGGCAGGTGGGAGTGTCAAGCTGCTCAAGGGTAGGAAGGCTCTACAGAGAGAGCTGGACAGACTTCATCAGTTGGCTGAGAACAACTGTATGAGGTTCAATAAGGCGAAGTGCCAGGTCCTGTACTTGGGCCACAACAACATCATGCAGCGCTACAGGCTGGGGGAGGAGCGACTTGAGAGCTGTTTGTCAGAAAGAGACTTGGGAGTGTTGGTGGACAGCAGCTCAGTATGAGCCAACAGTGTGTTCAGGTGGCCAAGAAGGCCAATGGCATCTTGGCCTCTATCAAGAATAGTGTAGCAAAGTGATCATCCCCCTGTACTCAGCATTGGTGAGGCCACATCTCGAGTACTGTGTTCAGCTCAGGTCAATTTTGTGCCACTCAGTTTGAAAAGGACATTGATTTACTGGGCCATGTCCAGAGAAGGGCAACAAGGCTTGTGAAGGGGTTAGAAAACATGCTGTATGAGGAATGGCTGAGGTAATTGGGTTTGTTCAGTTTGGAGAAGGAGGCACAGGAGGGACCTCATCACTCTACAACTACCTGAAAGGGCGTTGTAGAGAAGTGGGGGATGGTCTCTTCTGCCATACCTACAGTGAGAGGGCAGGAGGAAATGGTCTTAGGCTGAGACAGGAGAGATTCAGATTAGATGTAAGAAAATTTTTTCACTGTTAGGGTGGTCAGGCATTGGTATAGGTTATCCTGGAAGATGGTGGAATTACCAACCCTGGAGGTGTTTAAGAGACATACGGATCTGGCGCTGGGTGATAGGGGTTACAGTGGTAGTGCTAGGTGGACAGTTTGACTGGATGTTCTCAAAGATCTCTTCCAACCTTGATGATACTATGACTCTATGATTTAGGCCTTTCTTATGCCAAATTATGATCTGTGATTGACCTGTGGTAGACATCAATGGGCTTCAGCTGCAGCACTGTGAGAGTGTGATGAATAGGCGGTGATACCTTCTTGAAATTAGATGGCAGTGATGGCTAAGACTATTGCTAGAGATGCCACACAGCTAGTGGGATTCTGCCACAACTTTATGATAAGTTTTTCCTATTTAATCTTCACTTCAGCTCTTAGGAGACTTCTCTCTCGTGTTTTGGTTGCAACTGCCACTAGAAATAATGGCAACCATCTACACCTTGAATATTTTAATGGAATAATCTTTACTAAAAAAAACACTGTAAATGCAACACTGGAATGCATTTTGATGCCCTTCATAATCATTAACTTCAGCTATACACAAAACTTTTAAGTCAAATTAATTTTTCATGGTCACTGAAAAAAAGACTTGCTTGTCCCCAAGTTCAGCTTAATACAGGAAACAGAAAACCAATTTTCATCTAAAGTAAATGAATTCAAATAAAACACCAGAGAAAGTGGCCAAAAAGAAACCAAAAGGAAATTGACATCATATTGAAGACAAGTACATAGAGGATAAAGAAACATAAATACCTCCTGCGAAGTTCTTGCATTTTATTTCTCCTCTGTACCCAGGCCTCTACTTCAGGCGTTGATTCAGGAGTTGGTTTTGCATGATCAATGGTGTATAAATCCTTGCCTTGTTTCCACAGCTGGTATCTGTCTGGTTGAAACATCCTCACAAAGACGTCCATGGACATTGACACCATGTCTCTCCTACAAGTGCACTGCAAGAGAAGACAGAAATTTGTAAGCAATAGAATATGCCACAGTTTGCAGTAAAAATAAAATTCCAGAACTAAATCCCACATGTGAAAACCAATTCTACCTTAATCAAACTTTTCCTATTTCCCTTTTCCTCAATATTCAAGGGGGAAAGGATCATTCAAGAGAAGATACTATCTGAACAAATGTGTTACACTAGTACTCAATGAAGGTACTTGTGGACACTCCATTGTTTCATTAACTCCTGCAGGTTAAGACCAGAAATAAATTATAGCATTTCTTCCTGTTCTATCAGTAGTTTATCAGTAGTATAGTTTTTGATAGTTTTAAGCAAATGACCATGTTGAATCCAGAAACTGCACATATCTTTAGTGGCATCAGAATTTTCTATTTAAAAATAACTCATGTAGTATCCACTTGAACCAAAGGACTATACAGGCATACACAGTCCCAGCATTTAACTCTTCAAAACAGAAGTGCATATGACTACCATATCGAGTTACAGTTTTCTACAATTTTTCTATAAAGAAGAAAAAAGAAGCAAGAGAAGGCAGCCCTATGTCTAAGGTCTAGAAGGATGTGCTACAAACATGTAATCTAATCTTCTGTGCAAAGACCTTAAGATCTCTTGCAGTGCTTTCCTCATCAGCTTTACTCTAGTCCCTGATTTTAGTCCTCCAGATAATTTTTGCATTGTTTTACCTTCCAAATTAGGCATGTGAGTGGAATATTTTACACCTATGTGAACAAAATCTTAACCATCATGAAAATGCAAAGAAGCCTTCACTTGGATACTGTAGATGCTGAGTCAATTTTCAGACTAGGGCTACTACACCTAATACTCCAAAACACTTAACAGTAGGAGACTGCATTAAGCAAATCAATATGCCTACAGCACATAAACTATCATAGTGGGTTAACCCTGGCTGACTGCTGGGTGTCGATCAACTTCCTCTCTCATTCCCCCTCCTCAGCAAGAAAGGGAGATAAAATAAGATGAAAAAATTCATGGGTTGAGATAAGGACAGGGAGATCACCGACCAATTACCATCTTAGACTTATCTTGAGAAAATTTTATTAATTTATTGCCAATTAATAGGAGATTACGATAATAAGAATTGAGAACAAAACTAAAACCAGCTTCCCTCATGCCCATTTTTCCGAGGCTTTACTTCAGTCCTGACTCTGGTGTCTGCAGGGATGTTTCTTTCATATTTTGCTCACTCCTCCCTCACAGTTGCTGCACAGTGAATTTTACTCTTTCTAAATTTGTTATCATATGAGTGCCACCAGAGTTGCTGACAGGCTCAGCTTTGGGCAGCAGCAGGTTCACTTTGGAGTCAGCTGGATCTGGCTCTGTCCAATATATGAATGGCTCCCGATCCCTTATGATATTAGCCACTGCTGCAGTCCCCCGACACTACAAAAACCTAGCCACACACACCTTACGCCGTTTTTTTTTAGATTAAAAGCAAACTGACTGGCTAAAACATACAGTCTTAAATGGAAAAATCTTTGAAAGAATTTTGCTGTAGCTAAGTAATTCTGTTACAGAGCAAAACTGAGCTAGTATTTTCTTCAGGTAAACAGAGAGGTCTAGAAAAACCTGGTAAATACCAGGTCTGGCTTTCTGGCTTGCTAAAAACTAGTTTTAGCACTTTTTCTAAACAAGAAGGGTGCTTAGTCACAGAAACACTGTAACACACAAAGGACTGAATGCAACTTTCCTAATACCTAGCTTTCTATGCGCTGAATACAAATTTGCTTATCTGCTATTTCCATCTATCATTTCTAGTCCACCCTTCTTCCTCTTGAAATTCATAAGATATATAATGAAAAGGTAACTGAGATGTATTAAAAATGCTTTCTTTCCTATCAATATGTCAACATCAATATGCTGCATATTCATGACACTGCCATCTAATGGGAGGTGGAACGGAAAGAAAGGAAAAAAATCGACACAGAAATTGCAATTTTATGCAGCTGTCTTTAATTACACGTTTTGCCCAAAATACAATCAGAATTCTCCCTTTTCAAACAGCATGCATATACATACACATACACACACTCTGTACAGGACTTAAACTTACATGAAATAGTGTGTCTCATTCAGAGAGTCTTTGATCAGTCACAAGGAACAGTAACCAAAAAGCAACTAAGACACTTCTGTATACTGGAAAAGTGCATAGATGTACACTGTAATATTTTTAACACTGAAAAATGATATTTGTAACATAAAGACATGCAACACTGAATTTGCACACCAAGTAGTTTCACATTCAAGCCCTGTTGCTGCAAACCAGTGAGAAATGATGGTTAAAGCAAAAATTTAAACCAAGACTTCCGGTGCCTTGGAAGAAAATAATTACTTAAGTTAGCATTGAAGCATTAAGGAAATAAAAGCATCAAGAAATAAAATGCATTCTATGATGGAATTATCATAATTTATGAAAATATTCAAATTATGTCTAAATGAGACACAAAATTTCTGTCTTTCAGTAATCTTTGATCTGTTTCTACCACATTTTAATAGAACTATTGCAAAAGATTTAAAAAAACCCAGGTAGGTATTAGAAATATGGAAGAAATCTTTTGAAGTTTTAAAACTTTTAAAAATACACATTTCTAAGTAAAAAGCAGTGGAGAAACATCACGCTCAACAGTATCACTGCCTGTCCGGAAATATAGGCTTCAAGGCACTAAAGGGTATAAATAGTTGGAAGGACCATATCAGAAAACAGTAGATAGGTTCTGGAAAAAAACATTTCTACTCATATTTCCTAAAATGATCAAAAAAACAAACCAAACCAAACCAAACATAAAGCCAGTTGCTTTGATAAATAATCTGGGGGATCTTATGGTCACCTTGGTGGTGATAGTGATGGTCTTCACTATTTTTTCTCCACTTCCTGTTTAACTGACTTGTAGCTATATGGCTTCCCAAGATGAAAAAGTAACTGAAAGATTCATTCTAAAACAAATGTCATTCTCTTGAATAAGCCTTGTGGGTCAGACACAAAATGGACATGCACTGTCTAATTAATTGGCCTGGTGATACTTCCATGAACCACAGTAATTTCAGAAATATCTTTTAATATATTTCAAAGCAAATGCAAAATCAAAGTAGCTGGATTATCATGTAAATTGCAGTTGATGATGCCATAGCTAAAATTCAGTCTTTGTACTGGAAACAATTATTTTCTATATGCAATAAAATTGGTCTGATACTTATTCTTCAATCAAAGAGTAGTATGATGTGCTGGTTTGCGCTGATATAGAGTTAACTTTCTTCATAGTGGCTAGTAGTTTAGGATTTGTGCAGGGCACAGGGTTGATAATGCAGAAATGTTTTTGTTGTTGCTGAGCAGAGCTTACACAGAGCCAAGGCCTTTTCTGCTTTCCATACTGCCACGCTGGCAAGGAAGTTGGGGGTGCTTGGGAGACTGGGAGGAAACACAGCATGGATAGGTGACCCAAACTGACCAAAGATATATTCCATACCATAGGACATCATGCTCGGTATATAAGGTGGGAGGAGGAAAGGGGGCAGGGCAGGCATTTGTCTTTCCAAGTAACCATTACCAGTGATGGGCCCTGCTCTGCTGGAGGTGGCTGAACACCTCCTGCCCATGGGAAGTAGTGAACTAATTTCTTGTTTTGCTTTGCTTGTGTGTGGCTTTTGCCTTTCCTATTAAACTGTCTTTATCTCAGCCCATGAGTTTTCCAGTTTTTACTGTTCCAATTCTCTCCCCCATCCCACTGGAGGGGGAGTGAGCGAGCAGCTGTGTGGGGTTGGGCTGCTGGCCAGGGTTAAACCATGACATATGACAATCAGAATACTTAAGGGAAGAGAACTCCTTCACAATTCTTACAATTAAATTCATACTATTAAAATCATCAATGTAGCCATTCCTATCATTATTATTTATCCTCACACAATGATACAGCTTGGAAGTAAGCAAGTCAAATAAAATTGGTAGCTGCAAACCTTTACAGAACGAATTGTAACAAAAAGTTTTCAGCAACTTCAACTAATTGGTATTACTATATGTGACACACATTTGTGATGTAAGAAAATTACCTAGGAGAGACATACTCAGCCAAAAGAATTTTCTCAAATACCTGCTATTTATGAATGGAAAAACAAAGAATTTTTATGTACTAAAAAAAAATCTTCCCATTTTGGACTATGATTCAGAAAAATATAAAGGCATATACAACAAGCTTCTAAACTCATATATATCAGACAGACACTGAAGCACATTTAAAGATACCTGATGTACCAATGAATAATCCTTGAAAAACATTTTATATCCTTAAGAACCAAGTACATGTTTTAAGGGTCTTGCTAACTTTTCATCATCAAACTTAGCAAACAGAATCACTGGATTTATAAAACTAGTATAAAAAATACTCCATCTGTAGAGAATATCATATTTTGGTGCAACAGAAAGCAAATAGATAGTTTATTTTATTTTTTTTTACTAGGACAAGTGCAATATATTTCTTAGTACCATAGCTTAAACACAGAAATGTATATCCAGAGTCAAGCCTTGGTGATTCGCATTTTTTTCTTTTAGTGCAGTGAAGTATACCTGTGATGTACCTTACATGATGTGAACTTATGTCTTTATCTGCAAAAGCATCTTCACCAAAACCGGGTTATTATGTTTCAGTACTACAATATTTAACACACTAAGCTTAAAGTATCTGAAGGATTTGGGACATTTTGCAATAAGTATTGGATCTTGTTAGTTAAAATATGATTTTCACTATATCTGAAATCTATTTTAAAAGTCTTTGAAAGTATTAACATGAAGAAGAATAGTATTACTTCATTAGGCCAATTTTGTTGCCTTCACTTATAAAATATTTCAGAAAAAAAAACCCTATCACCTGTATACACACTACAACTGTACAATGTAGGCAAACGTTTTCTACACACCTGTGGAAAGGCATGTGGAGATTAACAGTCAAGAGAAACCATGAAAAGTTCTCTTCT